CTTTGTTTTCTTGATGTTGAGCTTCACTCCATATTTAAGGCTTCAGTCCTTGACCTTCTGCAGCAAGTGCTTCAGGTCCTCCTAACTTTCAACAATCAGTGTTGTGTCAGAGAAAAAGGATCACTAGTTGGAAAACATGGATTTGGCAACAGAAATGAAGCTGGAGATAAAATGATAGAATTCTGTACAATCAACAATTTATTCATTGCAAATACTTTTTATAAGAAACATAAGTGCAGGCTATACACATGGATTTCAACTGATGGTATATACAGGAATCAGATTGATTATATCTGTGGAAGAGATACATCATTGGGAAAATCCTACCATCATGGATTTTTGCAAAGTCCTGAAGAGCAATGATGTCTATGAGTACCTGATTCAAAGCACAGTCTTCAATAGTCTTTCCAAGGAATAGCTTCTCCTAGCAACATGCTCAAAGTATGAGAGACAGAACTTCACCATCTTGCCTCCAAAGAGCACTGACTACACTTTTCCCAAGACATATCTACCTATTCTTTTGGCAGTTCATGGAACATTCAATACTCTTTTCCATCACATCTCAAAGGCATCCATTCTTTTCTCATCCTTACTCATTATCCAGCTCTCAGCTGTGTAGTAAGTTACTGAAAAGACCATGGCCTGAATCAGGTGCACTTTATCTTCAGGCTGACATTCTTACTCTTCAGTATTTTTAAGAGATCTGTGACAGGAATCTTTCTCAATGCAATACGTCTCCTAATCTACTGACTGCTGGTACCAAGAATATTTTTTTAAAATGTTTAATTTTTTTAACTGTAACAAAAGTTTACAGAAAGGTGTTTTCATTCATTCATTGTTGCATTTTCCTCCTTTCCCCCACCCTAGTCCACTTTGCAAAGCAAATCTTGTTCCTGATTGTTGTCATACATATAATGCCTAATCATATATTCTTTTCAGCTGGTTTTCCCCCTCAATGGTTCCAGTGCAATGTTCATTGTCTACCCACTTTTCTTATTCTCCTCCCAACCTCCCATGTCTGTCCTATTTTATATAAGTGGTGTTATGTAGTATTTGTCATTTTGTGACTGAGATACTTCACTCAGCTTCATGTCTTTCAGGTTCACCATATTGTGTGTTTCACCCATGTTTCACAATTAAATTGGTTTTTCAGTGCTGCATAATATTCCATTGTGTACCCCTTTTACTTTCTATTCATTTGTTGATGGGCAATTTAGTTGCTTCCACCTCTTTGCTATTATGAATAATGTAGCAATAAACATGGGTGTGCAGGTACTAATGGTGTTGATCATTGTTCCAAGCAAGATGACATGACTGACAACTTCAATCCTTCATCAAGATGTTGCCTATTCACCCATTGGTGAGCACTTTTGTTTTCTTCATGCTGAGATTTAATCCATACTAATGGCTAGAATGTGGATCTTCATGCATTCCATTTCATTTTTCACAACTTCCGGTTTTCCTACATTCACACTTTGTATATTCCACATTCCAATTAATAATGGTTGTTTTAAGCTGTTTCGTCTCCTTTTTTTTTAGTGACTTCTCATCTCATCACCTGGGCTCTCCCTCTAATACTGTAGTTACCAACATTCCTCATCTGGTCATAGGATTTTCAAAGATTCATTATTTCATAAGTAGATGGCCAATCCTGCTTTGTAGTCTGCCTTAAAGCCAGTGACAGTGCTTCCACCATCACAGCCACTCACAAATTACATTAGCACAGTAAACACTTGCAAGGAAGAACAAACAATAAACAAGCGCACACACATCTAAGATATAAAGTAACTGACAACATGCCAATCATTCCCCAATAGAGCAAACTGACAGATTTTGTACCTCTAACAGCAAACCATAAAGATAGTCAGAACTAGAACTAGTTCTTGGTGGGGGTTTTTTGTGGGTTGGGTTTTCTTTTTGTAGTTTGTTGTTTTGTTTAAAATAAGGGCATAAACTAAAAAAAATGAAAGGAAGAAATGCATACATGAAACAAGAGATCTAAAACTGCAGAGAGGCAAAGGAAGACGATGAAGGGAGATCTGAAGATGGTGATGTAATAGGTATAAAGGACATCCAGAGCCATCTGGACTGGACCACCCTCGCTTAAGACAGGGTCATTTTGAGGGTTAACATTACCATACCTGCTGTTGAAGAATTGCCTTTCATACCCCAAAAAGCTACCCACATGTTCCGATTTAAACAAGGAAGTAAGCTAAGAAACAGTAAGATGTGATCTAGGAAATAGAGAATCAATATCAGATGAAATGAATAAAGAATTCCACCACTGGGCCAATTAGCAGCACCATGATGGAGAAGAGACTGAGATCCTTAAGAATTTCAACTTGCTTGGTTCCACAACAACACTCTTGGCACCAGCAGTCAGGAAATCAAAAGATGAATTGCACTGGGAAAATATGCTGTCAGGGAACTCTCCAGAGTGCTGAAGAGAAATTATATTAGTCTGGAGACTAAGGTGCATCTGATCTAGGCCACGATCTTCATCATTACTTGCTGTGCATCAGAGAGCTGGCCAATGACTAAGGATGACAGAAGAAGAATCAATGCCTTTGCATCGATTGCTAGAGAAGAGCATTGAACATGGACTGCTAAGAGAACAAACAGGTCTATCCTGGAGAAGGTGAAATCAAGTTGCTCCGTGGAGGCAAGGATTTTGAAACTCTGTCTCACATACTCTGGGCATGTTGCCCAGAGGGAACAGTCCTTGGAGAAAAACATGCTTGGAAGTGTGGAGGGATGGTGAGAGAGAGGAAGACTCTGGATGAGATGGATTGACACAGTGTTGGGTAATGGAGACAGGTGTGTCAGAGTCAGTGAGTCAGGATAGGGCATGGTTCTGAGCTATTGTGCATAGAGTTGCTATGAGTTGCAAGCGACTTGGTGGCACATAACAGAGACTCATCAACAGATCTGTGTTATGTAAATGACACAACTTAGCTTGCTGAAAGTGAAGAGGATATGAAACAGCACCTAACAACAATAGAGCCTCCATCACTACCAATAATGCTTCCTATTTTTATTTTTGCCTATGGACTGACTCTCCCATTAGATTTCTGAAGTGATTCCATGGGAGTAGAAATGACAGACAGTGAGCAGGAAAGGAGGAAGAGCCAGTACTATATAATCCTGTTATTGAGCCTACCAGCCAATCAGCCACTCCCAAGCCTGGAATCTTGAGGCTGGAAGGTAGGTTAGAACTGTCTGACAAGGGTAAAGAAAGCAAGCCTGTTTGTTACTTTCTCTTGGTCAAAGGTAGCCCCACACATTTAATTCTTGTACCCTCTGATTTACACACAACCAGAGAAGTCCTGGGACAGGAAGGAAGAGGCTCAAGCTGAAGCTGAGAATCTGTCAAGTTGTCCCTGTGCAAAGCTGGCTGAGAGCTTGTGCATAACAAGCTTTGATAAGGCAGTAGCTTAAGAGGTGGTGTTGAGATTTCCTTCACAATTCTTTCCCAAGCACCTAGAAGAGTGGTTGGCACACAGTGAATATCAATGCACTGTAGTGCAGTGGAGAAGAGGCAAGTAGCAATGATTTAATAAAAAGGCTATGAGTTCCGATGGCTGAGTACATGTTGTCAGAGGCCTGCAGAAGGGTGTTGCAGACCGAGCATAAAGTAAAAAAATGAGACAGAACACCAAAAAATGAGAAGAACGTAAAAAGCAGGGGCCAGCAGTGCAAATCAACTGAAGCAGCACAAGCTCTGTATATTTATTGAGAACCAGGGGAAGCAAATTATGAAGAGAATTCTCTTGTAAAGGAAGCCAAATTTGTCTCTATTGTCAACCTAACACTTAGCTTAGGAAGGAAGTATTTCACATGTATTAAATCTCCCTCTGCTGGGGAACCCTAGCTGCCTCTTGTCTGCAGGAAGCAGTTCATTTCCTGTGATCTGTCACAAGAGAAATTCCAACTTATAATTTTGTGATTCCTTCAATTCCTGATTAAGCATATGGTATGAAATTTGCCTTCCCACAGAAGAGAACAAATTCGTGTGCAGGAGGGTAGACAATGCTTCCTGGAGTACAAGCCCATTAGCTGAAACCTGAAGGATGAGCAGGAGCTAATTGCAAAGAACATGCTCATCTAAGTAAAAATATCAGTAATAAAAATCTACCAAGCTCTACGAGTATACCAGGTGACTCAGCGGTTGAATTCTCAACATTCTTGGGAGACTGGAGTTCAATTCTTCGCCAAGGCACCTTATTAGCGGCCGACACCCATCTGTGAACGGAGGCTTCCGTGTTGCTATGATTCAGAACCGATTCCAACGGAGCTTCCAGACCAAGATGGACTATGCATTCCAAATATCTGCAACCAATCATGGGGATCAGGCAGCATTTGGTTGTGTTTAGACACACCATGGCTGGATGGCTGCCACCAACAATGACATCTGTGCTTGAAAGGCCTTGTTATCTAATGGCTGTTATTACAGTGCAAACAAAAGAAACTTTGGGCGGGCTATCAGGAGGGGTCAACCCTTGAAAAAGACATCATGTTAGGAAAGGTGGAAAGTCAGAGAACGAAGACTCAGTCAGATGAATTGGTATGTAACACTGGGTTTGAGCCTATTAGATGGTGAGGGTCGCGCAGGAGACAGGTTCAGATCTGTGGTTCCTGGGGTCACTGTGAGCAATAGTTAGACCAGATGGCATCTAACATTTATAGCTGGTGGATTACTGGATCCCTATTTTATTCAGGGAAACCTGAAGCTGTGGGAAGTCGAATGACTTAAAGATACATTTCTCCTCATGTTACACAGGAGTGAGAGAGGCTCAGAACAGGGCAATGGCTTGCCCTGGATCAGTGTTAGGGATCGCAAGGACATTACTACCAAGGCTGGGGCTAGAAGCCTGCTTTCCTGAATCCTGGGTTTGTGTTCCTGCTCCAAAACTGGCCAGACAGTACAGGCACTCAGGTGAAGCCAGGGAAGAGGGCAAACTCCACATGGCCTGTCTGAGCTGGTGGTACTGCTTCCACAGTTACTACCAGAAGAAGCTGAAGGAAGCCACCTCCCAGGCCCGAGAGGCAGAATCACCCATCCGCCCGCTGCAGTCCCGGAGGAAGGTTCCCTCCAACTCCCAGCAGGCAGACAACTCGGAAGTCCCAGAACGAAGAGTCCTGAGGATTTTAAGCCGGCTAAAGCAGCAGAACTACGGTAAGAGTCCCAGCATGCTGGGCTGGGCTGGGCCAGTGCACTGTCCACCTTTCCCTGGGTGTCCACACAGCCCAGTCCAGGCTGCCAAGAAGCTGGTTTCCAGCCTGCCAAGAGTCCTGGTTTTCCACTCTGGGCTCAACTGCAGGCAGCAGTTAAATGGGGCTGCTAATCACTATTCCACATCCAGCACTGTGGCAAGGTCCTGCACAGACCTGCCCCCTCCAGCCTTGGCCTTGAGCATGGTTCCAAGACTGGGAAAGAGGCTTGATAATCCTAGCTCACCTACTGAGCCCTCAGTGGACTGTTAGGATATTTGCAGAATGTCCTCTTCATAACTATGCTCATACCCAATACGAACAAACCATAGCTCCAAAGTTCAAGTGACCTGTCCAAGGCTGACTCCAATCCTGTGCTTCTCCCACTGGGCATGGCTGCCCCTCTCCCCCCTCAATAGTGTTGTTATGTACTGTTAAGTCAATGACTCATCTGAACCCTGCCCTATTCCGTGCCATCCTTATTGTCTGATTTGCATTGCTAGTCATCAAGGCAATCCGTCTTGAGGATCTTCCTCCTATACTGCTCTCCACCTTTCCAAGCATGATGTCTAAGAACTGGTCCCTCTTAACAACATGCTCCAAGTGAGAGGAAACGTCATTATCTTGCCTCTAAGGTGCACCCTGGTTTCATTTCCTCCAAGACATTTATTAGCCTGTGCAGGGCTTAGTGATGGGCTTGGAGCTTTTTCATCTGTAGAGGATAGCAGATACCCATGTCATCTCTGCCCACTCTGCCAGGACCCACTTCTTCAGGACTGCTTCTTGTCCAGTGTTCTCTCATACAAGTGCTTCACATATTCTTTAGGCCTCCTCTACTCTGCAAGGTGGAAACTACGATCACCTTTGGACTGTAGATGTGCAGGTGTTAAGAGATTCACTCAAATGAACCCAGAACACGATGTGGCAGAGCTGGGTTTTTAGCAGGATCTGTAGGTCTTCCGAGGCTGAGGATGTCCTAACACGTTCCATTCTCCTGCTTCCTCATCCTTCCATAGCTGCCAACCTGCAGAGTCCCTATGCCCAAGTGCCCTGCATCCCACTCTGCCCAAGGCTGGACAAGAAGACGGTCCGTCGGAAGCAGAGCAACCACTATGTGCTGGACAAGTGCACTCCCAATGTAGGCCTCCTCTATCCAATGGGACCTCAGGGAAGCAGGTGGGTGCTGAGTGAGAAAGGACCCCATCCCAGACCTGCCCGAACCTTCCTCACGTGGTGGCCCCTGGTTTTACCCTAGGGAATCACTTTTGTGAAATGCTGAGAAACTGCTAGCTTCAGGCAGAAAGGGAAAGTCTGTGTACCAGGAAGAGGTCAGGGTATTGTGTCTGTGTGTGTCCACCACTCAGTGGCAGCTTTCTCCTAGGCTAGTACAAATTCCCCTTTCTGATGCAGGGCATTGAACTCTGTACACCTTTGCCCAACTCTGATTCCATGTTAAGTACCTCTGAGTATGACTCAGCCACCCATGAACAACAGATCTGAAGTGTGTCCTACCCTGCGCCACCCTCATCATCCCTGACAAACTGGAGTCCACTGTCACAGACACTGCATCAATACATCTTGCTGAAGGTCTTCTTTACTGGTCCTCTACCTTTCCAAACACAATGTTTCTCTCCAAGGAATAGCCTCTCCTAACGACATGTCCAAAATACGTGAGGTGAAGCTTCAAGCTTGCCTCCTAAGAACATCCTGGTTGCACCTTCTCCAACATGTTTGTTCTTCGGCAGTCCATGGGAATCAACTTAGAGGAAAGCTCCTGCAGCTGTCCCCTTCCGGGTACCTTGGGCGAAAGGGACAGGACTTGGACCTTAGCTCCATCACATGGAGTTCATAAAAATGGTGAGGAAGGCCAAATATCCCCCATACTTCTGCTCTGCTCTCCTCTCTGTCCAGGGAACAAAGCACTGACAGCCGAAAGTGGCTCAATTCCATGCCAGCTCGAACCCACTGACTCTCAGCCTGCAGAGGTTTTATCGGGTGGGGGTCTGCTGCTGAATTTTGTTTCCACGGCCTGGTAAGCCAATAAATACCAAGAACTTCACCTTCTATGGCTGGGACCAGGGAAGGACACCAAATTTTTGCCCCTTTGGTCTTTGAGGGCAGAGGCTCAGGTGCAAGACTTGCCTCGAAGTCCTACCCAGGTTCCTGCGAGCAGTCTGTGTCCTCCAAGGTGGAAGATCATACCTCTGTGGATCCTCAAAGTAAAAGGCTGGATCTCTTCCTCGGATGGGTAGCTCCACTTTTAGACTAGTGCCCAACACTGGCTCAAAGGGCGTGGTAAACATGAGGGAAGTGCTGGGAATGACCTGAGATGGTGGCCTTACCACATTTTCACCAAAGAAGCCCCAGGACCCAGTGGTGTCTCCTTCCCATGGACTCCCGAGAGTGGGTCTCAGTCTTTCACTCATCATCCACCCAGGTCCACTTCTGTACAGACACACAGTGCCTCCAAGGACTGAGCAGAAATAGCTCCTCTGGTGCTTAAACAAGAAGCCACAGCAAGGTTATAAGGCTAGGGAATGAAATAAGAACAGACAACGGACTGACAAGTTTAAAACATTTATTTAAAATACAATTTATAAAATGCTTAATCTGCCGACTCAGGAGCCCGCGGTGCAGGGTAGGGTGGGGTGGGGTGGGGGTGGGCAGCTGCCTGCTACACCAGCAGAGCAGGACTGCAAGGGTGCGGCCCTCCCTCCCTCCCATGCCCTTCAGTTCAGATACCCAAGGGGCTCGTGTGTAGCCCTGGGTTCACACAACCAGAAAACAGAACCCCAAAGATTTCTTGAGTCTCTGCTAACCAGGAAGGCTGGATATAGCCCCGCCGGCCCATCCCTGAGCAGAGCATCCCCAGATGGGGCAGAGCAGGGTATGGCTGGGCTGGACAGGGCAGGGTGAGGCGGGGCAGGTGGGCTCTGGAAGGGTCTGATGGTAGCAGATAGGGTGTTGCCTCCTGCCTGCAGGTGGGGAGCACCCTGATTGAGTGGGCTGAGAAGGGTTGGTCACCAGGCCCAGACCCCCAGCTCCTTTGGTTATAGGCTGACATCAGAGTAGTGGCTCATGGGAAGCGGTTAGCTGGAAGGTCTGAGGCCTGGATTGTGGGGTCAGGGAGGAGCTGGGGACAGAGGACAGTATCATAAAGGCAGATAAAGGGCAGCAGCCTCAGGTTTCTGCCCCCTTTCCCCAGGGGTTTTCCAAGCCAAAGCCTGCAGCTTACTTTTTTTTTTAAAAAAAAAGCACTTTAGGAAAGTTACAGACAACTACAAAAACAAAACAAAACAAAACAAAACCCAAACCGTTCTCCCATCACCCCTCCCGCCTCCCCCCAACACACCAGTTTCCTGTTTTCTCTCCTGCCACCTCTCCATCTGCTGGTGGGTGTGACGAGCACACAGTGGGCAGAGCCCCATCTTTGGCTGGAGGGAAGTGGGTGTACCAGTCCTTGCCATATCATCAGTCTGCAGACCCCAGCGAGCTTCTCCCTCTGGCTGCCAGGCCAAGGAACAGGTGGTCCCAATGGCTGAGCAATCAGAACCTATGGTCTTCCCACCTGACCTTTCTCAGCCCTGAAAGGACAGTCTCGCCTTCGGTCAGAGACCACTATTACATGAGGGATGGCCAAACCCACACGTTTTAGAATGTATAAGCTTGGTCAGGGCAGTGGAACTATAAAGATAGCAGCCGACGTTCTCCCTTGCCCACCGTGGAGGTATCTCCCCTCACAACAGCTGTGGGTTTGACTCAACCACCTGTGGGTTCTCACTCACAAACTGAAGCTGAGTTGCAGCTGTCAACTACTTACTGGCATCACACAGTTTTAATGCTGTGTGATGGACTAGTCATTGGCTTAATTGGCTAGCCCTTCCTATTACAGGGAGGTGTGGTGAGGCATGGACAGTCCGTTAGCCCAGCCTACCGTCCCCAAAGGTCAAGGTTAGCCAGGCAATCCAATGGTGGATGAGTCTACTAAACTTAATAGGTCATCTTGGCCATCTCCATGAGCTACCCTCGTCATCCAACATCACACCATCCACTCCCAAACCCACCTGCTGGTAGGGAGTGAGGAGGCTGCCTGGCTGGCTTAGGGATAAGGCGCAGTGCAATGGAAGAGGCCAGATAGCCTGAGAGGAGCCAGACAGCACGAGCACATACATACACAGCTGCTCTGGGCAGTTGTCCTGTTAGCCTCTTCCACCTCAAGGGCAAAGCAAATCTCCAGGCTCCAGAGACAGAGCCTTCATTCCTGGCCTGTGCTCTGGAAAAAGGGGTGAAGGGTAGCCTAGGCCTCTTCAAAATGGTTTGCTTCCAAGGTACTGATTTCAAAAGAAGAAACGCACCAGGTCTAGTTACTGAGATGGTGCCATCAAGAGAGATGGAGCACTACAGATGCTGGAGAGTTTGAGGAAGATCTACCCATCTCCTGGCCACACGAGGCAGAAGACTCGGAGTTCTGGAGCCAGACTCTCCCCTTGCTTTCCTTGAGCTGATAGCAAAATACTGAACAAGCCTGGCATCCCTCACTTCTAAGTCCAGGAGTACAGAGTGTCAGGCTCTGACACTAGACTCTCTGTTAGAAGTAGCTTCCCTGGCTGGTAGGGAACCACCCTGAGGGGTACGGGAAAGGGAAGTCTGTTCACCTTCCCTATCTCCCAAAATACTAGAGGTGGGGTTGGCACCCTCCCCAGGCTCTCTGAGCCAATAGAGCTAGCCCAGTCTCCAGGCAGGACCAAGATGCCCTGGGTCTTAGCTGTGGGAGGGAGGTATAGGCATGGGGTACATCTGTCCTGGGGGCTGCAGAGCCCTGCCCCTTTTCTGGGCGGCAGTAGGAATACAGAAGAAGCTAAGCTCACCAAATCCTATTGGTTAAGGTTCCTTCCCAGAACATTTTTAAGTATACTAGCAAACTACCCTTTCTCAATTAAAAATTCCTTAAACTGCTAAATCCCTCCCCCCGCCATGCGCTTTTTCTTGCAAATCAGATATCAGGTATAAACAAACAAAAACAGGGAGGGGAGGAGAAAATAAAGGATATTTTAAATGGAACTTGCTTTTTAAGTGATAAAAGACATGCATTGGGGAAAGGGTTCTCATTTGTGTTTTAAAATCCCAAATTAATGAGCATGATAAACTGTTATTGCTGGCACTGGCTTTACCCCGAGTGGCACTGTCTGACTCTAGATGAGTCCTTGGTGGGTTCCCCCAAACCTCCCCTGGCGCTCACCCTTTCCCTTTCCATTGACTTGAGACAGCCCTTGTCAACATGCCAATCACAGTGGGAAGGGAGCAAAGGGGAGGTCACAGTGCATGGGGTTCAAGGTCACAGTGGGCGGAGCAAGGGGATCACAGTGCAAGTAAGTCAGGTCGTTCCCTCTGCTCAAGTCCAGCTGTCTGCCACGGCAGTGCGACCCATAGCAGACGACCCAGGAGGCGTTGATGGCAGCAGCAGTGGCATCCTTTTTTGCCCATATTTATCTGCGCTGTTTGAAGCCTTGTGACCCATCAGGACCCAGGGGCTGTCTGATCACATTATTGGGCTGCCGGCTCTCTTCAGGCTGGGAGATCCTGGTTGGCCTGAAAAGATCAGAGGAAAGCTTGAAATAGGAAGTAAAGATAGCCCCAAATCTCAAAAACAAGGTGGTAACCAGCCAACTGTGACTCTCTGAGTCTGCCTCTTTGGGAGTTGAAAGGTCCCTGAAGGTAGACAGGGCTAGTGGTCCATGTCTATTCCTAGCATCTCTCTGCAGTGACCATGGACAGCATATCCACCACAGAATCTAAGGGTACAGACTTTCTAGAGTGTTGAGTCAAGGTCAACAATCCAATCAAGAGTTCAGTAAAGTGACATAACATTGCCACTTCTGCCCTCTTGCTTGCAATTGTCTTTCCAAGCCATCTCACATTACCTTGAGAGGACAACTGAAACAGACTTTTCCCCACTCCTAAAGAATGGAATAGAGGTGGGATAATGGCTCTCAAATGAAGGAATAGAAAAGAGGTACACAGTTTAGTTCTCAAACTCCCAGAATTCCAAACTAAGGAAACAGTTCAAAGCCAGAGGTTATTTTAGCACTGCTTTAACCAGGAGGTGGTTAAGTTTACATAATGCAATCTCTGAGACTATAGAGGACAACTGCTGAGTCAAGAATTTAGCAAATGCACCCAAAAAAATGATAGCAAGACTGCCAAGACTCAGAAGATACCAATATCTAAGCACTTCACTATGCCAGGTAGTAGGGTTCTCACACTCTTTGCTCATTTACTCATTTGATCTCAGACCTTGGTGAGACAGGTACTGCTGCTACTTCCATTTTTTTAGAATAGGTAACTAAGGAAAAGAGGGGTCAAGTAGCTAATAAGTGGCTAGAGATGAACTTGAAGCTTGCAAATTCTCACTTTAGTCTAAGCTTTTCACCTACAGGGGAAGGAAACACTTTCCTAGAACTGGCTCTGGCTTGCACCAAAGCATAATACAACTAACTAGCCCTGCCAGGCTAGGATTGGCAGCTGAAGCTCTAGCTTCCAGTTCTGTGACTGCTTTTCATTCTCCAAGGAAACAGGGTGCTCACTTTCTAGGGTAGACTGGTCATGTGAACTCCGGTTGGTCCTGTCAGCTACACTCACCTGTCGAGGATGGGTTTCTCCTGCTCCTCCTCAGGGCTGGCGCTACCCAGGATCCGCTTTCTGGCCTCAGCGTACTCTGCCTCCCGCTGGGCTAGGGACTTGACTGGAAGGGCTGGTCTGCTGGTGGAGTTGGGACTGCTGACCACACCGTTGCTGGTTGGCCTCTTGAGGATGCGGATCTGTGGAGGGGGTCCCGTGGGAAGGCTATCGTCCTGAATCACAATGGGCACTCTGGGAGGAGATTTGGATTTCCTGCTGACAAAAAGCAAACAAAGCTTCAAAATCCTGTTCCTTGAAGACAGAGGCCCTTCTACGTCCAGACCCAACCTTTATCACTTTCCTCTCTCTGTTCCTCTCCCAATTCTATTCATTATCAAAACCAAGATCAAACGCTCACTCCTCAAGGCTATCTCAAAAGAACATGCCACAAGCTTGCACAGTCCAGAAAAACTGCTCCTCAAACCTACCCCTGGCCAAGAGGGCTGGACACCACCTCATTCTGGGCACTTCCATCTCTATCAATTCAGTCATGTCAATCACTGTTTGGGCCCTGTGGCAAAACATTTCATGTCCAGAATCCAACTGACTTCAAGTTAAAACCCCAGTTTTCCTACACAGACACAAAGTAACAGGTTGGTGAGGTAGAAGCAGCCACTTAGCTTAGAAATCAGCAAAGTGCTTCCCTCCCAGCCAGCTTCTTCCACCATGTGAGTCCAAACTGGTCTAGCACTAGAAAGGCACCTGCTATGCCCTACTGGCCCAGCATGAAGACAGGATTTACCAAACTGACTCAGTCTTCTGGTGCCTCCCAGAAAAAAATCATGCCAGACAACTGAATCACCTCTTTGAAAAAGCTCCTGAGCAGAGAAACCTCTTTCTTGTCAGAGCTGTTTGACAACGGCGGGGCTGGGGTGAAGGATGATCCTTGAGACAGTGCTTGGCAATGCCCAAGAGGGGAAGCACTGTCCAAGGCCGGTGTGTTCATCAGGAGACGTGGGATAAAAAAAAAAAATCTCTACCGTGTCCACCAAAACAGTGAGGGATAAACACAGGAAGGGAAGGAAGAGAGCCACAGAAGAAAAGGATTCTGGTGGGAATCACCACCCCACAACAACCACACAGACCCTCCCCAGAGCAGTCAACCAGCTTCTTTTCAGAAGCAAACATGCCTCAAAGGGGACCTGTTTTCAGAGCTTCGTCAGGAGGGGCAGGTACTGGGGGGAAGGGAGGGGGGTGTCTCAGCTGCTAACAAGATAAGTTACAACAGGTCTTGAGCAGGCCAGGGACAACACGGAAATGTGACTGTAATCAGGATTTAGTGTTGTTGCTGAGATGAGCAGACAAGGAGATCTCATGCTGATCAAAGAGGAGGCAGGGAGCCAGGAAAGCTAAGAGGCGAGCAGGGCAACACTGTGGATGACTGTGCAGCCCTTTACACACATTCAAAGAGGCCCTACCCTCTTCCTTTCTGTGCTTGACCCTGTAGGAAGCTGACAGGTTACCTAAGCCCACTGACCAACCACTATGGTCAACTTTCATCTGCTCTGGAAATGCACTTCCTCCATTATCAGGGACAGGGAAACAGGACACGATCCTTAAAGGTCTTTCAAGAATACCTGTTCTTCCAGGATACTAGTAACACTCTAAGACAAGAAATCACAATCAATCTCCTATGTCTGAGAGAAAGGAACTGAGGTTCAGAGGAGAAAACAACTTGTCCCCAAATCTCAGAATAATTCGGGGCTAAGCCAGACCCCAAAACCAAATTTTGAACTTGTGACCTCCCCATTTTCCATCAGATCACCTCACAAAGGGGCCCACTATGGTAAGAAGCAAGCGCAAGACCCAATCTCACTCCTGAAGCCTCAAGCCACCAAGTCCTGCTCTCCCACTTGCAGGGAAGGGTTTGCTGCCCAGGAGTCTGACCTGCCAAAACCTATAACCACCTGGAGGACACCGCTGACTGCCCGGCTCTCAAATGGCCGAGAGCACAAGCCTTCAGACATATAGCAGCCTTACCTCTCCTTTTGTGAGATCTTCAGTTTTTTTTCCAACCGTCTGTCTATTTCCTAGAGGAAAAAAATGTATATAAAAAGCGGCAAAAATCTCTCTCAAATAAAAGCTTACGTCTCTATTTTCCAAGCTAAGGACATTGCTCGCTCTCTCTCTGGCCAGGAACATTACTGTCTTCTGAGAAACGTGAATCTTCCTTTACTGGATATGCTGGGGTCGGGACCTGACTCCCTCAGCAGGTGCATCTTCCTTCTGTCCCCACAGGAACAGCTATTGTTCCAGATCTCACGGGTTGGCTGGGATCTTGGCAGAGCCTCCACTAGTCCTTTAGTCTTGAGTTTCCCATTTCAAACTGCCCTTTAAAATCCACACATATCAACTTTCCAAACATACATGTGATGTCATGTCCCTGCTTGAATCTTTTCAGCTGCTTGCAGGATACAATGTAAGCTCCTAAAAATGGCTTTAGCCACACCTTCTGTGTTTTATTTTTGGCTTCCTGCTTATACTACACCAACACTGAGATGTTATTTACACCAGAATCAAGCAAGCCCTATGTACTCCTCCCCTATAAACTCCCCTTTATCTTTTAAATCTCAGGTTGGACATCTGTCACCTTCTTTGAGAAATCTTCTCAAGTGTCATGTTGTTGTTGCTGCTGCTGTGTACCAGAGAGTCGAAACCGACCCATAGCTGACCCTCTGGCGGGTTTTCAGAGGCAATTAACTGCATGGAAAGAGACTGTCCATCCTTCTCCCATGGAGCAGCTGGTGGCCTCAAAATGTGCGCCTGAGGGATTGCAGCACAGCTTCTTGTCACTAGTCCACCAGAGCTAGCACAGTTATCTGCTCCTCAAAGATAAGCTTTCTCTTTTCTATTCTTTCAGGTTCATACATAACAATTGTTTTGTCATTTATTTGTTTAATGTTGTGGATTTAAACTGTGACTAGCATCCGACTAAAGGCCTAGAATTTTAACAGAAGCCTAATGTTTGAGGGAATGGCTGGACAGTCTGAACCTTCAGGGTCCCAGCACCAGGAATACCTTAATGCCTCACTCCTGTGTGCACACTCAGTTCACACACCAGACCTCCGCAAGCTATACAAAGACTAAAGACAAAACCTCTTGATCCTTTGACTATCCAACTGCTCACTCCACTCCCTCAATCATCCTCAGCAAGGACAAGACAACCTAAGCTATTTCAGGAGAGGCTGGAAGAATCTCTAACAGTAGTTCTCAGTGGGGGTTGGGATTCTGTGCACCAGTAGCCAGGAAATAAGAAAACGTACTGCGATGGGAAAGTCTGTGGTTAGGGACCTCTCCAAAATACTCAAGAGCAACAGTGTCTCTCTGGAGACTAAGGTCTGCCTGATACAGGCCATGGTTTTGGCAATCACTTGTTATGCATCAGAGAGTTGGACAATGACTAGGGAGGATAGAAGGAGAGATGACGCCTTTGAGCTGTGGTGCTGGAGAAGAGTATTGAATGTACCACGGACTGCCAAAAAAACAAACAGATTCATCGTAGGGAGGATTAAACCAGGCTGCTCTTTGGAGGCAAGGATTCTGGGGCTTCGTTTGACATACTTTGGACACGTTGTAAGGAGAGACAGGTCTTTAGAGAGGGACATCATGCTGGGTAGAGTGGAGGGACAGCGCAGGAGGGGAAGACCCTCTATGAGGTGGATTGATTCAGTGACTGGGGTACTCGGGATGGGTTTGTCAGGGGCAATGAGATTGGCACAGGATAGAGCACGGTTTAAGGCTGTTGTACATAGGGTCGCTATGAGTCACAAACGACTCGACGGCACATAACAACAACAACAACAGAAGACAAACATCATGCTTAAAAAAGTAGAGGTCAAAGGAGAGGAGGAACCTCTCCAAGATAGACTGACACAGTGACTGCAATGATGGGCTTGGGCCAGCACAGTCAGGACGGTGCAGGACAGAGCATGATTTTGACGTGTGTACAGAGAGGGTTGCTATAAGTTGAAAGTGACTCCAAGACATCTAACAATAACAGACACATTTTATTGTCTTATCCACTGGTGGGGAGGATGTTACTGGACAAGGATGGTCCTGAACATCCTAAAATGCACAGATTAGCATCTTTCTCTGTAACTTGCCAAAATACAGTATTATCTGACTCAAAATGTCAATAGTACAGAGTTTGAGAAATGTTCATTTACAAGATAGATGAAATTTTCAAAAGAATCCATCATAAAAGTTTAGGAACTCTGATTAAGCAGCAAAGTGTGGAAATGTCAAATTCACCTCAAAACCAAGTACAAGTATGTGCTAAAAACTATTTTATAATTGATGAGTAAAGTGTTCTATTTATGCATATTAGTCCAAGTTGATATTGCTCAATCTAAATTCTTACGATTCTTCTTTCTGACCTATTCCTTACTAAGCATCAGTCTTTAGAAAAAGACATCATGCTGTAAAAGGAGAAGATCAATGAAAGAGAGGAAGAGGAAGGCCCTAAGTGAGATGGGCTTGATACAGTGACTGCCACAATGGTCCTGAGCATGGCAGGGACTTGAGGCTGGTGCAAGATAGGGCAAGGCTATTCACAGGGCCTCCATGAGTCATAGTCAATTCAACGGCATCTAACGCAATACTAATTACTAAACAAGGTCAAGAATTAGCCTTTCTAGTAAATTAACACAAATAATTAGGAAATAATCTTGTCTAAAATCTAGTCTTCAAACCATGTGTATGAACAGGGAAACATTTGCCCCAAAACAAAGTTGAGATGACAGAAGGGAAAGAAGGGTGAATGCAAATAGGAAACACAGGGAAGCACATTGTTATACTGAGAGAAGGGAAACCAACATCACAAACCGAAAGGCTGAGTAGAAAACTAATATGCTTTATAAACTCTGACCCAAATAACAGATAAAACAAAAATGTACTGTTAAACATTAATAAAATTATGGTAGCTTTATTTTAGTTGTTATTTGGTGGAATGTGTTTTCTCCACCTTTCATTTGGGTTTATATGCCCTTGGGTCTTCTGTAAACACTATGAAATCAGATGGTCACTCACTGTGACTGGTTCTGAGTCATGTTTCAATTTTTTGTTTTCATGAGACACCAAAAAGATATTTCAGTAAACACAGTATACTACAGGCACAAGCAGGTCTTGGTAGGGCTGGGAAACCAATGATCAAAATCCTCTCATTAGCTGAATTTGAGAGGTCCCATTCAGGATCTCTCAAGGATTCAACACACTCCATCTTCCTCCTCTAAGGCTTTAGGGAAGATAGGGAAATTTATGTCCAGTATCAGGAAGTGAAGCCTGAGAAGGAAAAGACCATCCATAGGACATTACTGACCAGGTCAGAACAATCACACCTCTGCCCCCAAACTACAACATGAGCAACATACTTGGTATACGGTACACTACTATATTAAGATATAGGGAGTGCTGGTGGCTTAGTGGTTGGAACTTCCAGCTGCTCCATGGAAGAAAGATGGGCATGGGATTAACTCTGACAACACATTGGAAGGTCAGTTCTGGGTCAGTTTCAACTTGACAGCATACAACAACATACAGTCTTATATATATTATTATTGTCTTGTTGCAAGGAGGGATCAGTCCTTGGAGAGGGACATCATGTTTGGGAAGGTGGAGGGACAGCGTAGGAGAGGAAGAACCTCAAGATGGATTGATTCAGTGACTGGGGTAACTGGGGTAGGTGTGCCAGAGACAGTGCGATTGGCACAGGATAGAGTAGTGTTTAGGGCTGTTGTACATAGGGTCTCTATGAGTCACAGGCAACTCAGGGGCACACAACAACAACAACAACAACAACAACAATTGTCTTATCAACAACCTGCATTATGCAGATCACACAACCTTGCTTGTAGAAAGTGAAGATTTTGCTTCAACAATTTAGATCAGCACGGAACAACGAGGGATTAGCATTAAAAATGCAGCTAAGCATACTCATTTTCACATGTGGACACAGCCTACTATTTGGTCCTAAAAGCCTTCTGAGGTCCCAACTCTTCTCACTATTTCTTAGTTGTTGGAAATGATGGAAAACCTCATAAGCAGTTCCTTACTTCACCTCTGCCTTGCATGTGGACTTCTGAGCTATAAAACAACCCAATGGTAGATGGAATTTGCTCCAGGACTTAAGAACAATAAATGACATAGTTGAGCTTCTACATCTTGTGGTTCCTAACCTTTATACTATAAAAGACAAAGTGCTAGTCAATAGGCCTTTTATTGTAAGAACTACCTTCCCTCTGTAACTTGATTTGTGCCACTATTAGAGCCTCTACTTGGAATATTATTGCTTTTTATTTTTGACTCATGTACTTTTAACTTGTTAAATTTGTGTCTTCTAAGCTGCAAGAGTTCCATGATACATCTTCAAGGATATGAACATGTACAGCTAAGCACAAATGATAACAGTGCATCTCAATTCCAAAATCAATCTCCACAATAGTCTATGTGTTTCCTACTGCCAAAGGGGCCCTTTATAACACATTGGAAGGTCAGTTCTGGGTCAGTTTCAACTTGACAGCATACAACAACATACAGTCTTATATATATTACTATTGTCTTGTTGCAAGGAGGGATCAGTCCTTGGAGAGGGACATCATGTTTGGGAAGGTGGAGGGACAGCATAGGAGAGGGACAACCTCAAGATGGATTTTACAGTAGTGAGAGAGTACTTTACAGTAGTGAGAGAAGATCTTCACCCTGAAACCTACAGCGTCCCTTTTCAGCAGGAAGTAGCTAAGAGAATACGCTGTCCCCTCTTCCTTATGAATCAGGGTGAAGTCTCTCTGAGGAAGGAGTGATAGGGAATGGCAAAGAACACACTGACAAAGGAGATTAATCAGAACTGGTTTTGACAAGCACTGTGGCAATGGGACAATTAAAACAGACTTTCAAGGGG